TATGCTAAGCTGTGTAATTCAAAACTGCTAACATTGAGTTTTAAAATCTAATCGAGTTCACTGTGTTCTGAAAACTATGATATTCTTAAACGAAAAAGATAGCAGTAGATCCAGTTTCAACCAAACAAGGTTTCAAATGAAATTATCTATTTCTTCTTGCAGAACTGAATAAAACAATGCTGCAGGGACCCAGGTAATCATTTCAAATGTGATCGGAGGATTCAATTTGAATGGTGCTACTGCAACATTGCCTTTGTTTCAGCCTCCCATGAAGACAGGCTCCTACCTACCATGTATGGACACCCCATGAAATGCATCTAAGGTGTGCAATACTGATGCCAATTTTAACTTTTAGAGTAGATGTTAATTCTGACATTTGGACAATAACAGTTTCAATGTGTACGCAAAGTGGTATCAAAATATACTGCACAAAAAAAAGGGGAGATACAATTTTATTTATTATAACATCTGAAACCATTTTCCTAACTACCTTTCATGATAATTTTTGGTCTTTCCAATTTGGAGATGTGGCACTGCGATGGCCTAACTGATAGCTTGCTGAGCTGCTAATCAGAAAGGCGACCATCTCCATCATTTGAAATGTACTGGCTCTTCCAGTGAGGAAAGATTTATATTTAATATATTTATATTAAGATCAAAAATCCAATGAAGGGAGCTGCTATGACAGCAGTATGTGAGTGAGAATTGGAGATGGAAACTATGGGGGAATCTGGTTGCTTTATAATGCTGTTGCTTTCTTTTAAAAAAGTTAAGCTACATATCTCCATCCTTCTAAAGTGCATACTTGGTTCCCTTCCTACTGGCAACTTTGTAAAACTGAAGAGTTAGCTGAAAGATTTTGTAGTATTACATTTCAATAACCAAGTATCAGAGAATCAAGTATACATGAAGATTCAAAACCTCAGACCTTCCCTCTGTCATGTTTGGAGCACAGACTGATTATATTAACAAGTCATGTTTATCGGTTTTTTAAGCACACTCAGGTTCTTTCTATGTACTCTTATCTAAGTAGGGGCAAAAGGAGTCCCATACATTCTAGAGTAAACAGCCCTGAAGGTATCCTGGTTAAGTGCTCAGACTGTTAACCAAAAGGGTTCCAAATCCCCTGCCACTCCTGGAGACAGGGGTGTGGCTGTCTGCTGCTGTACAGAGTACAGCCTGGGGAACCCTCCCGGGTTTTGTACAGAGCTGCTACGAGTCAGAATCAATTCAAAGACAATGGCTGTTCTTCCCCCTTTTACCTGTTTTTGATTTTCCCTTTGGTTTATGTGCTAAAGATGATGTAGCAGGTACAAGGAGAAATTAGTATAAACACAAAACACTTTCCATTTGCTATTTGATTTCTTACAGATTTAAATCTGTGATTTAAAACTTGTATTAAGGCGGTTTTTGCACTTCACATACTCCATAATTTATAAACAGAAGAGTGATTCAGAGGACTCACAATGTTCCTTCCTAGAGCTGTTTATCAATAATTAAATCATTCTTGTGACTGCCATTCAATGTGAGAAATACAAAGTCATGTTGCCTGTAGATGCCAGTGAATAAAAAGCCTTCCCCAATGTTCTATCATTTCCTCTGATACAGAGTTCAAAACATGATCTATTTATTTAATTCTCATCAAATTCAACCAAACTAATCACAAATGACCTATAGAGGTAGTGGTCGCTGGAAGGTGGGAACTGAGAACTCTGTTTTTGAAGGTAAACAGTTTATTATTTCAAGCTCATGAAAGAAGCCCAAATGCTGCTGCAAACATGTGTAATGTTAGATTTCCAATAATTCACTCTACTTAACCTCTTCTATTTGTTATCTGAACCACAAAACAGAAACGAAAGTAAGAAATATAATCATGAATACACACAGAACCTTGCTCTGTGCTTCTTGCCAGCATTAGGTTGCCACTGAACCTCCTTATAAACTATATGAAGAAATGGACATACTTATACACATCCTGACTAAGTTATTTAAGAACAACACAACTAATGAAATCACATCCTAGTCTCTGCAGAAGAAAAAAAGAAAGAGCTAATTTTAAACTCTTACCATATTCGCCTATGTTGTTTAAAAGGAAAGAAACAAAAAATCCATATTAGTGGCAAAAGTAAAAAGCAGTGAGTAAAAAATGTAGTTCTAAAAGATTTTTAATGGCTTAACAAAAATCTAGCAATGTGTCTCAAGAACTAATGACATATAATAATGGAGTGAAAGAAGGATTAAAACCAATGTTTAACAAAAAGGGGGGGAAAGTTTGTTTAATGTTTTATAAATCATTTTCAAAGAGTAATAGTTGAAAAACTTGAAGACTTTACCTAAGTCCATGTGATAAGTGTTGGCGTATGTTTAATCATCAGGTCGCCTGAGAGAATAAATTCTTTATTGTGTAATTTATAGTTTTCCATGGTGTAAATACTCCACCAGGGTTGATTTAAAACTACCAGTGTGATGCCATTGAGTATGAAGTTGGGAAGAAACACTTCCCAACACCATTGTAAGCCATGCAAACATACTGTGTTTAAGAAACTTCAAAACAGCCAAAATAATAATAATAAATAATAATAATAAAATAAAAATAAAGACATTTTGTGTTTTCAGCATTAGCTAACTTTAATACAATTTTCTCTATTTTTTAATAAGGGCTGTGTTTGTTTAATTTTAGCAGCTTGTAAAATTCCTGAAAATTTAATAATGAGCTCTTGCAAGCCAATATAAGGCCAGCTCCAGCAAACCACTGATTCCATATATCCAAAGGAAACTCTAATGGCTTAGTGGGTAAAAAAATTGTGCTGCCAACTCAAAGGTTAAAACTTCAAATCCACCAGCTGCTCCAGGGGAAAAAAATGACCAATCTTCTTCTACGTGATTTACAGCTTCTGAAACTTGCTGAAGGGCCAGCTATTGTCAGTTCCAACTCAAAAGCACATAGCAGCAACAACAAAACATATCCAAAAAGCCTGGCAATCAGTGATGATAATGGTTTTTTAAATAAAAACAGCTATTCTTATATGCAGGGAGAATATTAGTCTACTTTTAAAAAAAGGAAATATTCAACCACTGTTGAAGTTTATTCTCAAAAGAAAGCAGGCTATGATAGCTACAAATGGGATGGTTTCTTTATCACAGAAATGGCTTTCATTGCCAACTATGGGTACAGTGTATAGCCAGAGTTGTAGAAAAAAAATTAGGTGTGTTATAGGACTCAGAGCAAAATAGGGGCTTTGTTGTACTGCTATCAGGGTGGCTTTAAAGAATTTCTAGTTCCCCTACTGATCTCAAAAAGAAAACTTACTATGAGTCATCTTTACTTTTGGAATTGTAAGTTGCAAAAAAAAACATTTTTGAAATTAATGTCATCCTACAAAGTTAGAACTTTCTTATTTCATGACAAAAGCAGAGTGTTTTATGTAGCACATAAATGTTGGGTAAGGTAAGGAAACTAGCAAACAAGCCATTATCTTTCTACAAGGGACCAAAAAAAGCCACCGGAAATGAGACTGCTAGAAGGCGGATGTGAGTCTCAAGGGAAGTCTTCCTTCCACCTCTTAGGCTCTAATTTAAAGAAGACAGTCGTACAAAATTTCTTAAATTTTAATTGATGGGCAGCAGATTTCTTTCTGTGCTCTCTGTAAGGGCTCGTTTATGAGCTGTCAGTTTGCATATAGCGAATGAAAAGCCCCCTGGCTAACAGAGAAACCGAAATAAAGTGGCAGTTAGAGCAAGTTCATCCCCTAAGTGTTCCTGGACATGGAAAATAATGAAGAAAGATGATCTGCCTGAAAACGCATTCAGAAGCAGCAGTATATAAACAAGACAAATGCTAATGAAAAACTATGAAAACACAAATGCTCTGAAGCATTAGAGCTGGGAATCCAATCCCATTTAAATTAAAGATAATACTACTCATAGGCCAGGCTTTGTGTTTCTGCTCCTCTAGCTGGTGAACGCCTTCCATGCACTTTCCTGAATAAGGCATCTCTAGAACACATCTGTTGTGCTATGGAACCTGCAGGCAATGCCATGGTTCTTCCACTTTCCAGACATGACTGATCTATAATTCCCTGAGTTATTGGGGTCAACCTTAGGATTATAAATCAAAACATTCTATGAAAATGAAAACTCTTGCTCACATTTTACAATTACAAAACATAGGAAAAAGGAAGGGATCCATGGAGCAGGATAACTACTTTTTGAAGAGTCAAGTAAGTGGCTGTGCTGTATGTTTTCAATTTCAAACCATCATCTTGATATGTTTAGGGGTTTAATTTATGGAGCAATCAAGCAAGTTTTATATTTAACATTAAATGCCTGAATATTATAAATCACCTGCTATGAACATTTATGGGGGAGTTTCTGTGCAACTTCTGAACAACTTGTCACTTTTATTGTTTAGCAATGATTTGCAAAAAATGATATGCTAAGTAATCCTAGAGCATAATTTAGGGACACAAAAACAACTGTCAAGAAACAGGCAGAGACTATGCTTAATGAAATCTTTACAGACTAAAGTAATAAGTATTAAATTAATCAACACAGCTTAATTGAAGCTCTATTTGTAACATTTTTATTAGGCTTGTTATTAATGAACCTTTAAATGCTACCACTAACTTGAGCTCTCTGTTAAATTTAAATAATGAACCATTGTTCACACACAAAAAAAGAACAAACACTGCTTTAATAGCCCTTTGTCTCAATGGGGCTTTTTACTCTTACGCATCGCTAAGATACAGACATGTCCCTCCTTTCCTCTTGCCAACTTATTTACATGGTTGGCAGGATATCATCTCTGAGACTGCTAAAATGGTCTGAATTAACTATGGTGAAATTTCTTTAAGAAATACAAATACAGTACCTAACACTGGAAAATAGACAAGAATTCTCAACCTGAAACATGTCTTCAAATCTATGCTTTCATCAGTAACTCTTAAGAAATTCACACTCATAAGCTTAGATTGTTTAGTTGGGATTAGAAAAGTACTTACCTGAACATGTCTCCCAGGCCCTTCAGCATCCCCTTCTTGGCTTTAATCTTCTCCTTTTCTTTGTCTCTGTCTTTCTTCTTATCTTTGGCAGTTTTATCCTTTCTTCGGTCAGTCTTGTCACCTTTCTCTTGGTTCCCGTTCATCTGTCTCTCCAAGGAGTGCGAGGGCTGGTCACTGGCAGTGGATACAGACTCTCGTCCAGACCTTGAGCTTTCTTCTGTGTCTTCTTCCACTTGGAAAATTAAAAAACAAACAAATAAAACAAAAAAACAAACCAAAAGAATAGAAAACAAAACAAAAATATAGTTAACTATACTGCCAAAAAATCAGAAAAATAAAACACACGGACCCCTGATGATATAATCCACAGGGATGTGTGTGGCTAACACAAAAGTGGTATCTCTGAGGGTTCAGATCTCGGTTTGATGGGAGAAAGATGGGCCATCTTTTTTCCTCCAATTCACAACTTCTTAAAAACCCACACAAGGGTCAGCTAGGAAGAAGCTTCAACTTGACAGCAACAAACGAATGAAAATATATCTAAGGATTTGGCTTTCCCATTTTCCTTAATGTAACTTTCTGTTATAGTCTGGACCACCCAGACATGGATTATACTGCTATTGGTTTCTTAAATAGAATTAGAAATGAAAATGTGATGGCATGATTTCCATGTACAAGAGTATTATTAGTTAATGATGTACAATGGTGAGAAAGCAGAAGCTCCCTGACTGGACAGCATCCATTCATCACAGTACTCTCTGCACCACAAAAGATTTATTTCTGAGAGGTGGTTCAAATCCACCAGCTGCTCCAGGGAAGAAGATAGGCAATCTCTTCCCATGCTTTTTCTGCCTCTAAAAATGCACTGGTGAGTCAGCTGTAAATTGGTTCTCACTCAACAGCAATTACATAGAACTCCTTGAGGACCTGTCTACAACGTTTGCAAAACAAGAAGAAAATTAGCATCTTTTCTCAAAACACTTAATTTCTTTCTGAGTAAAGACAAGATGGAATTGATCTGATTTCTCTATCATCTTAACTATTTGCTAGTAGCTAGTGGCATAATCCTGGTGTATAAGTTGCTATACCACAGTCACTTGTGGTTGCTGTGAGGCTGAACACTGTGACACTGATGTGTCAACTGTGTTAATGGTTGGTTACCCAATGCGAACAGAGAGTGGGCGGAGCTCCCCGATTAAAACAAGTTTGGAAGCAGGAGTGGTATCCACTTCCGTAATAGCTTGCCTCCGGAAACCCTATGAACCTGGAGAGAGGATGAAAGTCACGCAAGCGTCGAGGACTCTCCTTCATAGGGCCGCTGTGAGTCACCTGTGACTCAACAGCACTTAACAACAACAGTGGCATAATATGTAAGTCAGGCTGCCAACCCTGAGGTTGGTGGTTCAAATGTACCAGGTGCTTCATGGCAGACAGATGAGTAACCTCCTGCCATACAGATTTGCAGCCTCAGATGCCCAGTGATGGGCTGCAATGAGTAGGAATCAGCAGGACAGCTGTGGACTGATTACTTGCTTGCTTGATTATCTATCTATTTATCTAGTGTCTACAATATCCAAGGAGCCCTACTGACAATACATCACATGTTTGGCTGTTGACAGAAAAGTTGGCAATTTGAATCCAATTAGAAAGATGTGACAGTCTCTTCTCAGGAAGATTTAGTCCCAGAAACCTAATGGAAGTTTGCCATGAATGTGAATTGACTTGATGGCAATAGGTTTCTCTGTTATATCAATGTCCACATAAGAACATCTTTCCTTGCATTTCCAAATATGCCCATCTGTGCTTTCTGCACACCAAAGACTGTTATGCGTGTAAGACAACTTCACAGTCTTTGTAACATCGTCTTGGCACTATACAAAGCCAAATTTTAAGTAAATGCTATTATATATTCTAATCGTAAATACTTGTACATGTCTGTCTGCATCATGGTAGCTAAAGAGGTTAATGGAGTTTTGAAAATAAGCTAATTAATAACCTCAGTTCTTTGAACTTTGCAGATAAAAGTTCTACTTTATGATAACAATGTTCAAGGATTTGGGAAAAAAAGCCCCGATTTAGTTAATATATGGCCCCATGGTTCTTCAATACCCAAAACATTAGGCATTTGGAGAAGTGACAGCTCAAACAAGATGCCACCTATCAAAAAATTCTAAGAATTTTTTATGTTAAGAAAGAAACATTAATTTAAAATTTACATAATATCCATTTTCAGAAATAATTTTGAGGCTGGTTATCTAATGTCACCTTCCAAATATAGCAAGAATTACTGGGACTTGAGGTTAGCCTTTGAATGGTAAGAATTATGGTAGTTTCCCCCCCCCCCAGCATCAGCAAATACATTAACATTCTGTTTTTCTGAGCTTCTTGTCACACAGGCCTTCTTCGGTATATTCACAAGAATCAAACTAAATCAAAATACTGTATCTTCAAGAGAAATTGTGTTTTTCTTCCTACCAGAAAGAAGCCATGCAATTTATCAATAAATAATATGAAAAATATAATAATGCCAGTGGAAATAATTCTAATAAGCTTTCTGCTAGCAATCCATACGATTCTGAGAAGATACTATCGGTTGGGATGGGATGGTAGTGGTTAAATAATATGACTTTTTTCAAATGCCAACTATTTAGCATAAAACAGAAAAATAAAAAAGCATAGTTGGTTCCCCCCTCCCTTGTCACATTTGGTTAAAAACATGAGGCGACATTTCACATCCCAGTTGGTCATGCCCTAAAGTGCCAAAGAGTAAAAATGTCACAGAATCTAAATCTGGAAGGTCCACTGGAGATCATTTAGTCCATCCTTTTCTATTTATGGTTGAGGACACAGACACTCGGAAAAAATTTTCAGACCAGCAAAAATACTAGAGTCTGGTGCTCCTTTACTTATATTTATTGTAAGTTGAACTCCAAGTCTTTCTAGTAGTCTAGTGGGTGAGAGTTGCACTTCCAATTCAGATGTAGGTGGTTTGAATCCACCAGCTGCTCCAAGAGAAAAACACACTCCTCGAGATGATCTAAAGCTTATGAAAACCTACACTGCAAGGCCAGCTAGGAGTTGGTTCAGACTAGACAGTATATAACTACAAGGATATACTTGAACTCTAGCAAAATCATTTTATACTTCCTGATATATTAAATATATTTTTAATAGCCTACAGACAACTGTAAACTGAAAGCATTTTTTAAAACATTAAATGTTGCTACCTTTAGAACTTACATTGTAGCAGATTGCAATCTGCTTCTTTTTTTTTAAAATCAACTCTGTAACTGAACACTTCCATGCTTCATAGGCCCTATAATTGGGTTACCTATTGCTCAATCACTACATCATCTTCCTGAAAGATTAATTCCAGCAGTCAGCATGGCATTTCAGAAACCTATTGTGTGGTTACTTAAAGCTATGACTTCACTTGTTGCTGTTGTTAGGTTCATAGCAGATCTGAACTCCATCCTATACTGTGTCACGCTTACAATCCCTGACACACTTAAGCCCATTGCTGCAGATTTATACTCGGGGGGGGGGGGGGGGGGGGTATGTCCATCAAGAAGGTGGGTCAATTGAGCGCAGTAATTCTGGAACTGATTCTGCTGTCTCCTTGTTGTTAGATGCCTTCAAGCCATCTGACTCATGACAACTTGATGCACAAAAAGATAAGGTCTTTGTGATCTGCTGGATTTTCACTGACTGATTATTTGTAACTAGATTACTACTCTTTGTATCTCACATTGGTTTCATTTGGAAGTTCTACTGAAATATGTTCAGTCTAGAAATTTAAAAAATTCCTCCTCATTATCATTTAATTGCAAACTAGCCTTTCTTCAAAGAACATAGTGGCTTTAAAAAAATGCTGCTTTTCTTCTTTAAAAGTAACTATAAAGGAAATGTGCTTGTCTGCTACTCTGTTGTTTGTAATCACACTTCCTGATGCACATGGAAGATGCAAATCATGGCTTAACAATAAATGCTGAGTTGGCCTATAATATTTACTTGTGGTCCTGACAGACAACACAGGGAGAGAATACACAGGCCAACTGGCTGAAGGGCTTACAATCTATGCATACGCAGGCTTGTCAATGGAAGCCCCCAGATGAGTGAAACTTGAGCTTAAACAGGGTTACAACATGGTCAGCAAGGCTGTGTCCTGCCACTGTGCAAAGCACTGATCAACCCACTGAAAATGGGTGTGGCTTCAACACTGAGATTATGGACCAAACCAGTTTGACTCTAAAGTTCCTGACAGCTGCAAAACTCCTTCCACTAGTATATATAAACTAGGTATATAGATGCTGGTCAATTTTTTGCAATTCTTACACAGAAAGTTCCTTTTACCCACTAGCTCTATGTACAATATTTTATCACAATTCCATCTTCTCAGACTTTAAGCTCCTAAAATAAGAACTTACCAGACGTGCCAGGCAGATAACATCTATTCACTGGGGGTTGTTTAAATGCAAGACAGTCAACCTTGACTTCTGACTTTGTCTCAACACAACTAACTCCTATCCAACCTCTAGGTACCACCAGCCTTCTCTTTTCAGAATAATGTCTACTCTCCACTGATAAAGTCTGACAAGATTAGCCACCACCTACCACTGTAACACTGGGAAAGTCTATTGTACTTAGATTAGCTCTAATCAGTTCTAGTATATTGTTATGCTATTGTTGCTAGTACAATATCTACTGTGTAATGGATTTTATAACCCTTTATGTGGTCTGGAATGATAAACAAAAAATGAGCTCAATAAATGTAAATGGCTTAGTCTTTCACAGCCCCCATTATCATAAATCATGAATGGAAGTATCAGTAGCAATTCTGCTAGTTTTCTGCCTAATAGTTTTGGCAGAAGTACAAGGGGCATATGTCTGCTCTTGGCTCAGTAACAGAATAAAGGCAACTAACTATATGCTGAAGTTGGAATTGTTGCCAATTCTTTTCATATCCACAGCCATATTCTGGTATATGTAATACAACTTGTTTTTTGAATTGGATGAAATGGGGGGTAGGGGGGAGATGTAATGTCAAGTTTTTCATTAAGTTTGGGTTTTGTAACCTCATTTTTTAGGATCTAAATGATAAGCCCAGGTTCCTGATTCAAGCAAGTAAATGGTTTAAAATGATACTTGCACATTTGAAAATTCTTTATGCCTATTCTGAACATTTTAATTTAAATAATACATTATATCACAGAGAGTCGTCTGGGGGTATCC